CATCCAGGCTCAGGAAAAGCATTTTGTGCTAAAACACGGGAAAACCAAACCCATCCTTATCCTCTCCCTCCCTTCTCCGAGGAAAGACCTCGCGCAAAGCAGCGCGTCCCTCCCCAAACCCTCCAGGCTGCGCCGAGGCCAGCTCAGTCCCGCACCGCAGAGTCCACAGCCGGGGACGTTGGCTCTTATTTAAGCTGGGATTGCCTAAAAGTAATTAGCTGGAAAGTTCATTACAGCAGAGCTAAAATGCTCCGGCCTCGTCCTCGGATGCTGCCAGCAGCTCTCCCGTAGCTGGCAGCGGCGTGCACGTCGCTCGCTTGCCCAGACCCCGTAAATGAAAGACGGGGCGGGGAGCACTCGGCAAATTAGATCCAGTTGATGATCCAATTAAGGTTGTGTTTGCGGAACGATCGGACGCAAAAGACGGTCCCTGGGCAGATGCCACGCTGAGAGGCTGCTCGCACAAAATGGCCCTGCGGGGAGCGCAGGGGGTTGGGGAGACGCGTCTGGTTTCCTCGCGGTACGGCAGCTCAAGAGCTACATCTAGAGGTCCAGGCACCCTCCGAGCCGGCGAAGGTCTTACGGAGGGATCTCGCTCCTGGGGAGCGACGTGTTCCTTCCTCTGGGACAGCTACGGGTTGGGGCAGAGCAGAGAGACGAGCTTTACGCGGGCGTCCATCCCGCCAGCCATCGGCTCAGCCCCCAGGTATGAGCACGTCCCGGAGGCTCCGGCCTCCGCCAACCTTTGCCTCCCCCAAAAGTCCTTCCGTGCCGTCGCCTCCGTCAGGGTAAGCGACAGAAGCGGCTGATGGCAGGAGTAAAGGGATTAGTTAGGAAACTTGGCAGGAATTCTAATGGAATACAAAGTGACATGGGGGGGGCGTGAGGGAGGGTCGGAGCGGGCTTCCACGGACGCAAAGGTAGGGCTGAGCAAATGGGATTTCGCCGCACTCGTGGCTTCCCTGGGGAGAAGGATCAAGAAATTCAGCAACAGGGATTAGATGGAGCCCCTAAAAAAAATTGCGTTCCCCCGCGGAGCCGCTGAGCGCTCCCTGGGTTTGTGACAGGTAGAAACAGTGGCGTTAAATAAAGCCGCTCCAGTGTGTCCACGTGCCCTTCTGGACCCCAATTCCTAATGCCCGGAGAACCGTCACAGCCGGCGGAAGGGGGAGAGGCTGAGCCTGCAAGGAAACAGCCCGGTCACGGGGGAGACAACTCGGGGGTGCTCCCAGAACGGCCGCGGAGACGCCAAAGCAATCCCCAGAGTGCGTCCACGGGCGAGGGGCTGGCTGTGATTCAGCCGGATCGACGGGAAAGAGACCACCCCGCAACTCCCCGG